ACTTTTCTAAACCTAGAACAGTAAAGATGAATTTTAGAAATAACTTTCGTCGAGGATGGGAACGCGATGGGGCCGCATTGTGCGTGTACTATCAGGTAGACCTAATATCAATCAAAACACATGTAAACAGACTGCTTTTCAATGCAGCCCTTATCAAAAATAAAAGAGTAACTTGACTGTTTATCAACTGGTCCCAATCTTTTATCAACTCAGGGAGAGTGTGTCGTTGATATTTGGGGTGGATTCGCAGACAGAGAATGTGAACGGAGATGGAGAGAAGACACTTTACAAATAATCTTCAGTACCTCAAAGGTGGGTTGGCAAATAGAAGCTCCAATAATAACAGAACTATGTACTTCTCAATTATGGCTTTCTGGTCTTCTTTCTTAGATTTGCAGTATTCATTTTCTTTAGAGAAGACCCCACCAAGCTTCTTATATCTTCTAGATAGAAGTTGAGTAGAAAATTTGGCAATGCCTTTACAAAGTTGCTTCCTTCGTCCATAACTTACAAGGAACAATTGTCTTGCTATTTTTGCATAGGCAAATTGCTTAAGGTTGAGAGAATAGTCTGGTATAAATGATAAATTCTCTACGCCTCGTATAAAAGGATTAGTTGTAACTCTAAGGTTTTGTTGATGATAAGTGGGAAGACGTTTTCAAGGGAAAAGAGAGATCTGCGTTGTACCTAGCTTTTCCATCTTATGTCTGAAGGATTCTAGGTAGTAGGTGCGATCTGCGTTGCTATGCTTGTCGATCGCGGGCGTCTCAGATACTCAGACAAAATATCTTCGTTTTGGCCGGAGTTCGCAAAGCATGGAAAGGAGAATATAACAGTCGAGATGGTGTTAGCACATACGGTGTGTATTTCAAAACCTACACGATAAATGAGTGCGAATGTTACATCAAATTACAGTCGGGGTTGGCTTGTCTTGATGGTAAAATTTCTTATGAGGATGCTTGTGATCATGAACGTATGGCCAGATACATAGAAGAATCGGTCAGTTGTCTCCTACCTTTG